GGAATCAGGGGTTTTAGATTGCATTTTTATGATAAGACTGTGAATTCTCAAAGGAAGAAAAACAAAAAAAGCTAAAGGAGACATGAAAATATTTTAATTATTTGTTAATTTGGTGGTGCTAAGGAGAGAACCTAGGGCCTCCCCCACACTAGGGAAGAACTGTACCCTGGATCCACACACTCCCAGACTCCCTCCCCACACATTCCACAGTGATAAAGTCTAGAGCAGTGGTTCTCAACCTTCCTAATGCTGTGACCCTTTAATACAATTCCTCATGTTGTGGTGATCTCCAACCATAAAATTATTTTTGTTGCTACTTCATAACCGTGTAGCTGTTAGATTTTCTGTGTCCCACCTGGCCCATGGTCGAGACAAATCTCTCACCCACAGTCCTGCAGCCTTTTATAAAATAATCACACAGAGGCTTAATATTATTTATAACTGCTTGGCCATTAGCTCAGGTTTATTACTGACTAGCTCTTACACTTAGACTCAGCCCATTTCTGTTAATCTGTATGTTGCCACGTGTTCCATGGCTTTACCTGTGTGCCATTACATGCTGCTCCCTGGATGGTGGGCTGGCATCTCCTGACTCAGCCTTCCTCTTCTCAGAATTCTTTTTGTCTGCTTAGCCTACCTATACTTCCTGCCTGACTACTGGCCAGTGTTTTATTTATCAACCAATCAGAGCAATACACACAGCATACAGAAGGACATCACCCATCATAACTGTAATTTTGCTTTCCAATGGTCTTAAGCATCCTCTGTGAAAGGGTGAAAGGGTCATTTGACCTCCAAAGGTATAGTGACCCACACAGGTTGAGAAATGCTAGTCTTTTTTTTTTAAAAAAAGATTTATTTATTATGTATACAATATTCTACCTGCATGTGTCCCTGCAGGCCAGAAGAGGGCACCAGATCTCATTACAAGTGGTTGTGAGCCACCATGTGGTTGCTGGGAATTGAACTCAGGACCTCTGGACCTCTAGAAGAGCAGTCAGTGCTTTTAACCACTGAGCCACCTCTCCAGCCTGAAATGCTGGTCTTAAAGGACCTTCATATCATCAAACTAATCTGTCAAATTTCAAAGTCCAGTTCTAAAGATCCAATTTCCTAGATGTTTTCCTTTTCAATCACAGATGCTTAAAACACTTAATTTAAGCAAGAATCATGTGGTCTTTGTTTGTTTGGTCTCATGCAGCACAGGCTGGCCTTAGACTTGCTCTATAGCCAAGGATGGTCTTGGACTTCTGATTCTCTGCTCTTCATTTACCAGGTGCTGGAGAGTTACAGGTATATGTCACCAGGCCAACTTGGTCCTTTTTTTTTTTTTTTTTTTTGAAACAGGAGTCCAGGCTGGTCTTGAACATACAGTAACTTCTCTGCCTTGGCTTCCCAACTGCTGGGGGTCATAGCTGTGATTCACTCCATCTGACTGCCTTTCTTCTTTTTGCATGTGCATATGTGAGTGTATGACGTAAGCACACATATATGTGGAGGAATGCATACCTGTGTACAGTGTCGGAGGATGCTGGATGTCCTGTCCTGCTACTCTGTGCCTTCTCTAAGACAATGTCTCAGTGAATCTGGAGCTTGGCTGGCAAGCAGCAACCTCCAGCAGCCATGCTGTCTCTGCATTCCCAACAGAGCTGGCATTACAGACGTGCACCACCATGATCTGCTTTTTATGTGGGTTCTGGGGCTTTGAACTCAGGTCTTTTGTAGAGACCCACAGAGGTTTCCTAGTGAGAACTTACTCAGGGTCCAAGAATCTGAGCTTGCTTTACCCAGCAGGACTGCATAACGGGATGAATTGACCATGGAGCGTGGGAGGGTCTACACTTGGCTGTGCAGTGTGCTTTGATCTAGCAAGGGGGAGGTCTTTTGCCCGACCCCTTAGCATCGTCATAAAAAGCCCTTTTGAAGAGGCAGAAGGGGCCGCTGGGTTTTGATCCAGGTCCTCCCGAAGCTATCCTGTGTTTCTGTCTTTCTCCTCTTTGCTATCTATCTAAAAGTTTAGTATTCCTCTGTCCTCCTCATAGGAACCCTTTAAAAGGTGGGAGCTGGCCTCTCAATAGTCCTTATGCTTACATAGAAGTAATTTTACCCATTATCTCCCTAGCCATACTTTTTAAAATTTATTCTTGAAGTTCAAAGCCTTTTGTTCTGAAATGCTAGGTTCTATTAAATCTTTGTAGAGTCCCCGGCTTCCGCACTGATGCAGGGAATCTGAATATCTGGAGGAAGTGATGCATAAGTGCTCTTCCTAGCCTGCATCCAAGATCATCTAAGGAAAACTGACCAGTTTTCCATGTAGCAGAGGCGGTTTCCAAGGTTGGTCCTAACCACAGCTCCACCATTCGTATTCTGCTAGTTTCTGGGACACTCTCTTTCAAGAAGTAGACTCCATGTCACCTACCCTCGAAGTGGAGTGGATGTTTTGTTGACTAGTCGATTATGATGCTACGAGGCCACTGGCTTTCACAGCTGGGTTAAGAACAGCATCAGCTTCTACTTTTGCATACCAGAATTCCTGCTCTCTGGGAACTCAGCCACCTGGTTGGAGGGATATTCAAGAAACCCACTTGAGAGGAACTAACTACCAGCATCAACTTGCCAGCCTGTGAGATGGCTTGGAATTGGCATTTCTGGCCATCATTAAGCTGTCCGGGCTGGTAAAGCATGGAGCAGAGTTATATCTTCCTTGCGGATCCCAGTGCATACTACAGATTTGTGTATTTCTAATCTTATGGTGGCTCTGTCTATCTTCCTACAAGGGTACATTCTCTTATGCTTTTTTCTAAAATATTCTGAAGATCTCTTTAGGGCCATTTACCTTCTGGGTTCCTTTAAGCACAGAACCAACCATTCCAGATTTCTGGTTACTTGAAATTCTTGTTTTCAAGTTCTCAGCATTACTCCTCAGCCTTCATTTTTTCATTTAAAAGGAGCTGGGGGGATGATGTAGGCTGGAGAGATGGTTGCTCTTCCAGAGGTCCTGGGTTTGGTTCTCAGTACCCACCCACATGGTGGCTCAGAACTGGAGTCTGTAACTCCAGTCCCAGGGGAATCTGATGTCATCTTCTAGCTTAACACATTAGACTACATCACTGTGTCCTTTTCACAGTGGACTCTTGAGTTCAGGAAAGCATGATTCACCTTTTCTGTAGTCTCCTGCTGTAACTCTGCATCAAGCCGTGTCGTTCAGGCATTCATTCAGCATTTACTGTTTATGCTACTACTGTGCTGGGAGCCATTGTTAGGTAAGGCCCGTGTTTTAACAGACCTGCCTGGGAAAGCAGCTGCACTGTTGTGCTATAACCTTAGAAAAAAGTTAACCCCATCTAAACAACACTTTAAAATGGAAGCAGCAACATCTCCTTAACAGTCTCATGAACGGGGCTGGAGAAATGGCTCAGCAGTAAAGAGCACTTGTTGCTCTGGCAGAAGACCCACATGGTGGCTCACAACCACCCTTAACTCCAGTTCAGATGGATCTGGCCTCTAAAGGCACCAGACTCATGTTGGTTAGTATGGTCAACTTGATAGAATCTATCAAGTTGGAAAAGGGCCTCTGAGCATGCCTTGATTTAATGGATGTACGGGTACTTAATTGTGGATGTGACCTTGGCTGTATAAACGGAGAAAGATGAGCACTAGCAGGCAAAATTCCTGATGATGGATTCGATGTGACCAGCTGTGTGTTCCTGCTGCTGTGACTATCCCCTTACAAGGGACTGTAACCTGTAATTTTGAGCTGAAATTAACCCTTTTTCCTTTAAGCTGCCTTTGTGGGGTACTTGATCGCAGCAACAGCAAAAGAAATGAAAACACCCAGCAGCTGGGCAGTGGAGGCGCGCGCCTTTAATCCCAGCACTTGGGAGGCAGAGGCAGGCGGATTTGTGAGTTCGAGGCCAGCCTGGGCTACAGAGGGAGATCCAGGAAAGGCACCAAAAACTACAGAGAAACCCTGTCTCGAAAAACGAAAAAAAAAAAAAAAAAAGAAAGAAAGAAAACACCCAGTAATCTCTTTTAGGGCCTTCACTCGATAGGCAATCCAACTCTTTTAGGGATTACTCTGAGTGCTCTGATCCTTTAGGTGGATCACTCTAGTTAGGAAATAAGATTGTTAGGCTCAGCCGTAGGTGGTGGCACAGGCCTATACTCCCAGCACTCAGCGGGCAGAGGCAGGAGAATCACGAGTTCCAAGGCAGCTCAAGGGGTACAGTGGTGAGCGCTCCAGGCCGGACCGGGTTACGTAGCGAGCCCTTTCTCAGAAAAACCAAACCCAAAGGATAAAAACCCTGCTAGGCCCAAGCATTTAGGTTGCATTCCTTTGGCCTCCTCCCTTACTTGCTCCAAATCCTCTTTTTTTTGGGGGGGGGGAAGGGTAGGAGGGGTCAGAGGGGGGTCCCCTTTTTTTTTAATGTGAAATTTAAACACTCAGAATTACTTGTCAGGGCCTTGATCACTAGCGAGTTCCCCAGTTAGAAGCTTGGCCATCGGAGCTCCGGTGTGCTCCTCGCCGGGCACGAGCGCGCGCTCCCCCGGGGCAGGGAGAACCGCCGCAGCGCCAGCCCGCCGCGGCGCGCAAATTGCGGGGGACCTTGAATGAACAAAACGGAACGAAGGAATGAATGGGCTGACGTCGGGGGCGGGGCCTTTGTTACGTCGCCCACCGGCGCAGGCGTGGCCGCACGTACGCCGCCGGCTCGTGGACGCCGCCGGAAGGGGGACGCCCCCGTCTGGCGCAGATCCCGCCGCGGGGCCAAGAAGTTGGGCGCCGCCTCGCGCCGCCTCCCCCAAGTCCCTGCCCCGCCGCGGAGCGTCACTTCCGCCACCCACCCCCTCCCCGGGGCTAGGGTTGGGGCGGGGAGTGCGTGGGGAGGGAAGGCCGCCCGAAGCCCGCGCGCCCAAGCAGGGACTACATTTCCCGAGGGGCCACGGCGGAGGCGGCGGCGGCGGCGGCGGCGGCGGACGCGGACGCGGACGCGGACGCGGACGCGGCGACGTCCCCCGGAAGTGGAGCCCGGGACTTCCACTCGTGCGTGAGGCGAGCGGAGCCGGAGACAAGAGCAGAGGCCGAACTCGGGATCTGACAAGATGGCCGGGCTGCCCCGCAGGATCATCAAGGTAACCGCCCGGGCGGGTATCCGAGGGGGCCTGCTCGCTCGCCTTCCCCTCCCGCCGGCGCGCCGGGCCGCCGCGGCCATCCGCTTCCCCCACCCTCGGGCCGCCGCCGAGACGGCCCGAGCGAGGGAGGGAGGGAGGCATCGCGGAGCAGGGTCCGGCCTCGGCGGCGGCCGAGGAGGGGGCGCCCGGGAGACTTCCGGCCGCCGCTGAAAGCCGGACACCGGGGGCTCCGGGGCTGCGGGGGCCGCGGCAGGGGAGGCCCGGCCTGTGCCGGGCGGAGGGCGGGGCTGCGGGCTGCGGGGCTCGGCTCGGGCCTCCGCGGTCTTTTCTTGATTTCCCCGGGCGGGCGGGCGGGAATCGCGGCGTGGCCTGGGCGCGGGGTCGGGGCCCGGGCTAGCCGCTCCGCCCCGGAGCCTCCTTCCCTTGGGTCGGCAGTCCCGGGTGCAGAATGAATGAGCCGGCCCCCCGAGAGCCGGGCGGGGCCGCCGCGGAGCGCGAGAGGCGGCTCCCGGAGGGCCGCGCGTCCGTCCTGCCACCGACCCGCACATGTTCGTCCCGGCCGCTCGCACTCGGCGGCCTTGGGGGCTCGGCGCCCCGTGGCCCTGGCTTCCGTATCCGCTTCCCCGTGTTTCCTCTGCTCGTAATCTCTGCGAAGTGATTTTTACTCTGGTTGGCAAACTCTTTTTTTTTTTTTTTTTTTTGGCCAACTGTTTTCCATTCCGAGGCGCTAGTTTAATTACCCAAGGCTTCTCGGAGGGCCTCAGTTAAATGGGGATGATCTGGGAAATAGTTTGCCTCGCAGGTGACCTGCGCCTTAAATATTAAGCGTTCCCGAGGCTCTTTAGGAATACCGTGTTTTGATAAGTACATATGGAACCAGGGAGGAACTCGTATCTTGGTTTTCTAAAGTCTTTACATAACCCCGTTGAGCCTTCAGACACGATAGGTATTGTAATCCAAGAAAACTAAATCTTAAAAAAAAAAATCTGGCATCTTTTTATGAAGGACATTGGTTAAAAATCTGCACTGCCCGACGTGCCAGCGAAGAGCCCAAGTTGAAGCTTCATTTTGCTTGCTGTAATCTAGTGAACACGTATTTATAGCGGTGTTCACTCTTTGAAGGATGTCGTGCACTAAGTCACAAATGTGTGAGATTGGGGTGTGTGACAGAAAGGTGCTTGAAGTAAAAAAAACAAGGCCATTTATAAGAGTTCTTAGGAAGAAAGAATACATTGTCAGTGAGCACTGGAGTCGTAATTAACATAAACTTCCACTGCCGTATTTTGAATCTCAGATTCTTTCAAAGTGGATTTTAATTGTTGGCCCGTTCATTAGAAGGCCCTGACCGTTGTTTAATTCTGAAACAGACACATGGCCACTAGTGATCATGTTAATCAGGATTGCATTTGAAAAATCATGACTCCCCACCACCGACCATCAAGTTTCTATTTATTGTTTCTTTGATTGTGGACTAAACATAGTACAGATTGCTAATGAATATAATTCTATAAAATGCACAGAAAAATCTATCAGTTGATGTATTTTTTCATTTTTGCTTGATTCTGAACATTGGTATTCTGCAGTAATATGAAAGTCTTGGATGGGAAAATGAATTCTGTGGAATATTGGTTATAAATTTACGGAAATGGTTTAAAGTAGAAAGTTGGAAGTGCCCACAGTTGAGTTCATTTGGTACATAATGCTTAAGCATACATTCAGGTTGCCATTTTGCTATATAAAACAAGGTAGTGGTAAACTCACGCTCTAATATATAATCTTTGCAGTATTTTATTGCAGGCACCTCTTTTGATTTAATATTAATTGACTTTAGTACTTTCAGCTTTAAAGGATCGCCGCCCCGCCCCCCCCCATCACTAGGGCAGATTAAGAGATTAGTATCCATTTTTGTATTATGTAGGTTCTATAATCAGTATAAAAAAATTTTTTTTTCTAGTGTTGGGGATTGAATTGAAACTAGTTAGGGCTTTGGTACATGCTCTGCAGATGCTTTACCACTGAGCAACACCCCAAGCAGAAAAACATATTTACATTAAAGTTTCTTTTGAAGTGCGTGCAAGCGTACTGAGTGCTATCCTCAACGCTGCACACAACCCAATCATGGTGTTATTTTATTTGTTTGTTTGTTTGTTTTGTTTTTTAAAACAGTAGTTCTCCATAGCCCTGGCCTGCCTGGAACTCAGATTTACCTGACTTTGCCTAGAGTGCCGGGATTGAAGGTGTGTGCCACTGCACCCATCCATGTGGTGTTTTATACTTAGGATCCCAGTGTGATAGAGGCAGAAGGGTTTAGAAATTAATCATCCAACTGGGCGGTATTTTAATCCCAGCACTCTGAGGCAGAGGCAGATGGATCTCCGTGAGTTCCAGGACAGCCAAAGCCACACAGAGGAACCCTTAAAAAAAAAAGTTAATCATTCTTGGCTCCTTAGGGGTTTGAGGCCAGCCTAGGATATATGAGAACTTGTTTCAAACAGGGTACTATGTGATGAGAACTGTGTGGTAAGGGTAGCTGAGGCCATAGAGACATACTTTCTTCTATTGGATTAGTATTTTATTTCTTGGTAACCTTTGGCTTTCAAAGGATAAGGTCTACTATTGCTAAGAGTCCTTTGTTTTTGATTTTTGAGACAGTACCTCTCCATGTAACTCCTGTTAGCCTCAAACTCAGAGATCTCCCTGAATCTGCCTTCTCTTTCTGGAATTAAAGGTGTACGGCACTGTACCAGGCAGTGTTACTATTCTTATCTCACAAATACCAAATAGTTTGATTTAGACAGTTTGGTTTGGGCAGTTATTAGTATGGTGCTTTCTACCTCATGATGGCCCTTATATTTGTTCATTTCTAAAGCCATTTGATGACATTTTGTGAACTAGGTAACATGTTTTTCGCAGGCTAGTGACTGATTGAAATGACTTTCCTATGGTCTTAAAACTGGAGGTGTGACCTTCCTGTCTCTTAATTTGAGAATGACATAAGGTATGTAAAAAAATACCTTGATAGCAGTGAAGTGAAAGATAATCCCCTTTGACTTTAGATGGGGTCTCACTGTGCAGCCTTTGTTGACCTCAAAATGCTCTGCTCCTGATTGCTGGGATTAAAGGTTTGTGCCACCATACCCAGATGAAGTGACTTTTTTTTGAGTTACTGTTCCCCTAGTGGATACGGCTCTCAGATTCCTGTGTTCACTCCATTAGAAATTTTGTAGGCTTGCTGGGTGGCGGCGGCAGCGGCAGCGCATGCCTTTAATCCCAGCACTCAGGAGGCAGAGCCAGGCAGATCTCTTGTGAGTTCGAGGCCAGCCTGGGCTACAGAGTGAGAAACCCTGTCTTGAAAAAAAGAAAAAAAGAATCTTGAAATTCTGTAGGCTCTATTTTGTATGTTAGGCACATTTTCCCATCTGTGAGAAGCTGCTGGTCAGGTCTGTCCTTTGCTGCCTGCTTTGTTGCATTAGTGCGTTTCTAAGCAGCAGGTGGTTTCTTGTTTTAAAGATTCTGTACTGCTGAAAACTAGTGGTTCTCCAGCACATAATAAAATCAACCTCTTGACTAACTGTCCCCAACTACAAGACCCTGCATATATATATCTGGGATCAGCTCATCTCTTGTACTTGACTGAGGCTATTTTCCTACAGTTAGAGTGAGTGTTGGCTTTGCTCTGCCTTGGGTAATGAAGGGTTAAACTTATTCCACTCATGGGCCTTCTCTGATGTTTGTTGGCTTGCTCACTTTGGTAATGTGTATTGTGTTCTTTTCTCATAAGTCCTGTCCCTAGAGAGGTCTACAGCTGTGGAATAACCCTTCTGTACACTGTGTGATTATATGTGGCTGTGATTGGTTTAATAAACAAGCTTACTGGCCAGTAGCTGAACAGGGTAAAGTTAGGTGGGAAAGCCAAACTGAGAATGCTGGGATGAGGAAGGGTGGAGTCAAGACTGGCTAGACAGACCTGAAGGAAGCAGATGAATGTGCCATGCTCATGGGTGATTTAAATTGTAGAAGTTAGTAATAAGCCTGAGCTATTGGCCAAGCATTTACAATTAATATAAGTCTGCATTTATTTTGGAGCCAGTGGTCAGAAGAGGAAAACTCTGCCTACAGTCTACCTTAATTTTAGTTGTCTTGTTTCTTTGTCCACATAATCCCCTCTTTTTTTTCCTCTGTGTAACACTTCACTTCTTAAACCTGTAGTATGACTTTGGGTGATCCTGGCATTGCTCCTTAATGTCAAGAGAATCTTTGGCAAATACGTAATAGATACTGCAATACTAATTGACATAATGAATGAGATTTATGTGGAAAAAGTTTTACAGGAGCTGTGGTTGTATATTATAATTTGACGTTGTTGCTGTGTTTAGTAGTGTTCATTTGAACTAGCAGTGTCTGAAAAGATATATAGATATAGATATTCTCTTTTCTTGGTACACAAGATTTCATGTGAACCAGGCTGGTTTCAGACTTCATTTGAACTGATCTTCTTGCCTCCAAATGTGCCACTGCACCTAGTTTTATATGGTGCTAAGTGTTGAACCTAAGGCTTCCATGCTAGGCAAGCATGCTGCCAACTGACCTGTCTCTTGTGTTCCTCCTCCAAATCATCAGAAAACAAAAGGCTAGGACCAAATGGGGTTAGAGCTCTAAAGGGGGCAGAGATGATTAATATTGACACATCTGCCTTTAGGGTTTCAGGTCTTCACTGCAGACACCAGAGTTTTAGTGTCCTGTCAAAGACCACAGTAATTCAGCTCATGTGTACTGGGCTTCTTCCCCTGCTCATGCACAGACCTGATAGCCTCCCCACCCACCTGCCAACAGTTTACCTTCAGAGTGACTCACTTTATAGAGCTGCCTTATAGGATTATAACTAATTGCTTGTTGATAGCTTTTAAATTGTGCCCTCTAATATCAATAGTTCTGTTTACGTGGCATTTTTTGTGGGTGACACTGGGTGTAGGTAGTTGTTTTTTAGCTATTAACTCCCT